CACGCAGCCTTATATGGCGGTGCTTGCTCCATCGAGTATTGCATGCTGTTTCCACACCCACCTCCGCACTCCCGTCATAGTGTCTGAGAATCGACTGCTTTTAATGGAAAATGCCCTCCGTGTCGTTAAACCATGGCAGATCAAAAGGCTAATTGAAAATAATAACGCGTCATTGAAATTCGCTGGCCTGAGCTAGCTCGAGGGGGGGAATTAACAGATGGGGGCTATAAGATCAGCCCAGTGCGGTCAAAGATCAAGTAATCCCAGGTCTGTGTCAAACGGAAAGAAAAAGATAATTGCAGAGGAAGTCTTGGGCGCTGGGCAAGTCAAACTCATTTTTGAAGTTTGCTGCAGGTTTACCGCAGCGTTCGGCAGGTCCTGAAATGCTGACCTTTCAGAGCGGTCTACTGAGCAGTGGGAATCATGCTGGTAGTAAGATAATCTGGGATGAGTTTACCTGCGATGCGCTAAAGCTTTCACCATTTTTTTGTGATGAAGAATCCTGCAGTGATTTTTGAGGGGTTTCAAGGGGTTATAGCACTTTTTTTTGCAGAGTAGTCAGTTCAAATGAAAGTTTACAGCGTTGCTAATGAAGGATAAAGGCAGTTAAGGGTGCCATTAGGACTGTGATGCTGAACTGGTATTCAGAACGTTTGCAGTAGGATTGCTGATACAGGGTTTCACTGAAGGGTTTTAAAGGGATTTACAACTTTTCACAGAGTTGTAAGTCCAAATCAGAGTTTACAGCGTTGCTCAATGTATGTAGGGTGCTGTTTGATCTGTAATGCTGAACTGGTATTCAGGAAGGTGCTTACAGTACACTTTAGAAAAAAGGTGCCAGAAGGGTTCTGTGGAGTGGTGCTGTAGAAGAGCCACTTTTGGCTCCCTACAGAGCATTTCAGTGAACGTTCTTTAGACAGCCGTTTCTGGCAAGTAATGTGTGCATGTGTGAATAAAGCACAGTCACGAGAGGCCGTGCGTTTCTGTGATTTTAAAAATAAGGGGTGATCATATGCACCATGTGAAATGGTATCAAATAAAACAAGATAAAATACAGATTTTCCAAAAATAATTAAAGTTATACCTAATATTATCACAAGGAACAGTTCAATAATTCTTCCACACAGAAATGCGTTTGTTTAGAGTATGCTATTGTTGCAAAGCAACCATGGAACACTGAACTTTCAGTTGGCCATTATTGTATGCTGCCATCTTAATATTTTGTGTAATAATATAATTGGGTATAATGCCAAAAACCATAGCTTTATAAGTAGTTTTTTTACCATGGTGATAATGCTAATTTCTGCTAACATATGATTTCAAGCTAACTTGTGGCTTACATTTATTTTCCCACATTCGGTTTAATGGTTAAGGTACAAATAACCACAAGCACATAGATTTAAAGCTTGTAATACATCCCAGTAATATATATATATATATATATATATATATATATATATAATTTTTTTTTGTTTTTTTTTCTGCATATGTGAACTCATTTCACCTGTGATGACACGTTATTTTCACCAAAATAACATGCAAGTGTGCAACAACCACATGTTTTATGCACAAGTGGAATTCATGTGACTTCTCTGTAAGGGGGTAGCTATCTTTTAGCCTGTTTAGCCTGCTATCTTTTAACATAGTTGTTAATAAGTACTCACCCTTTTAATTAAAATACACTGGATTCTTATCTAATGTATCAGTACACTAGGTGTGACCAGGATAACAATCTATTACAGTGCAATGGTTTTTATTACCTTGTGATTGTTGGCTCCCGGGTGGCACAACCATCTGAGTGTTGGCCCTATTACCAGGAGGATTTTGAGTTCAATCCCTGACGATGCTACAGCCATCCGTGGCTGGAAGTCCAAGAGAGCACAATTGCTCTTTGTGTGGGCAGGATAGTCCCCCACCACTCAGCGTGATGCTAGCCAGCACAGGAGGCTATTATTAGTAACTAATAATAGTTATTATTAATACTGAATTCAGTTATTATGACAGTTATAGGTTGAACATTTCACAACAGCTTATATAAGAACTTTTTAAGGCTGACGAATCTGCATGTGACGCCAATGTCACGTGCAGGTATTTTATAGGTGGTCCTGATGTGTGATTTTGGAGGGATTGTCCAGTTCAGTCAGTTACTAATGTTAGCTAGTTAGTAAGAGTGTGTTTCTTTGCAACTGTGAGCCTAAAACAATGTGTCGACTGAAAAGAAATTTTTCAGCTTAGCTGTTTTCGAATAAAAGATACCACAGCTCGTCGTCTCGATTTCTATTGGCTTAGGCTTCCAAGGTTCACAAATTTGCTGGGTTAAAGTGCTTTTACACTGAGTTTTCCATGCGTTCTGTGTGAGAGCGGCATAATGCAACATCTATCTTGGGACCATCTAGGATTGCTGATCTACACACAGGTTGTTTATTACTTTTTTGCGTGGTTTCGATTTTATACTGATCTAGAGAAAAGCGCCCCTCCATCATGAACCTTACGTACCTGGAGCCTCACTTCTGTCTAGTGATGTGGTTAAGAGAAAATCTACGTAGAGACAGATGGTCCTAAAGCAGCATAAAAAGCATACTTGTCCCTGAAGAAACTCCTATAGGAACATTGTACTGGAGGTAAAGCGCATATGTTGCTGACTCACACCAGGCGTTAGAGGCCTGCCAACCACTAAATTTCACATAGTTCTTGTCTATGCACTTTAAAGCGGCTTTTTGTCAGCTGAACAAGGTGGCAGCTTGAGGATAGCAAACTCAAACCACCATCTATCCCTCGACTCCAAGATTCCATTAGCGCCCCGTGCTGATACTGCTGCGCAGCTGGAGTCGCGTGATCATTCTTAACCTTTTTTCATTTCCCTTCTCGTCTCGGAATCATTACATCTGATAGAACGCGTCCCCGTATCGCCCTGATATTGAATATTAGGCTCAAGGCGAGTGATTATTGAGCACATTAGGAAAAATAGCCTGGAGGTCCTTCCGCATTGATTAGAGCCAGAGATCTTTGCCAAGCACATTCTCATAACTTCATCTGAGACGTTTCGCTCAAGCTTGTGTTGGTAGAACGCTGAACACATGCTGAACTCGGTCCCGCTGTAGTGCACACTATTACACTCCAAAGCTCGGCGTGCAGAATCGGAATAAAGTGAGGCTAAACAGTGTTTTGTGAGCGTTCGGGGACTTTGTGTTCACATCACAGCATGGCCTCCACTGAGTTCGAATGCTTAAATGCGCCACTCATGGTTTCATTACATAACTCACAAAACAATGAGTGCATTATGCAGCCTGTCCGAGCTGATGAATGCATCTCCGTGGTGTGCGCAGAGCAGCGGTGATGACATGAGATTCTATTGCTTCGTGCTCCGTTATTGCCCAGACAAAATTTGCTGCCACTGCATTTTGACCATGTTGTAGCCTGGCCATAGCAGACTTGGTCAGTCCAGTCCTCATTATCTGTGCTTGTTGCACAGGTGAGGTAAGGTCCACAATTTCTGTACAGAAGGCAAAATTTGGTAGCGCTTTAATTTACAGCACAGTGTGGTACGGTAAGGTAAATATGAAGCACTTTAAAGTAGTTTTCTGGTACATTCTTTTCACGTACATTGTAATTTCAATAAAAAACTACCAGGTAAGTACAGCAGTGCAGAATTTAATAGCAAATATTTAGCAATCCCAAGTTACATTGTGGTACATTAAACTACAAAATGTGAACGCCAGCACTTGGTGCATACTTTGCAAATTCATTATGTAAGTACATAGTCACTAATATGAGATATGCCAGGTATTTTTCAGCATTTAATATAAATGTTACAAAAAAATGTAGTAAGTAAAAACAAGCAGCTTCAGTTTAATGACCAGACACTTCATCAAAACCTCCTTGTTTCTACACTCATTGTCCATTTTATCAGCTCCACTTACTATATAGGTGCACTTTGTAGTTCTACAGTTACAGACTGTAGTCCATCTGTTTCTCTGCATACTTTGTCACCCTGTTCTTAAATGACCCTCACAGGACCACCACAGAGCAGGTATTATTTGGGTGATGGATCATACTCAGCACTGCAATGACACTGATGTGGTGGTGGTGTGTTAGTGCGTGTTGTGCTGGTAGGAGTGGATCAGACACAGCAGTGCTGCTGGAATTTTTGAACACTTTAGTGTCCAAAAATATCCACCCAACTGTCACTGCTGGACTGAGAATAGTCCACCAACCAAAAATATCCAGCCAACAGTGTCCTGTGGGCAGCGTCCTGTGACCACTGATGAAGGACTAGAGGACGACCAACAGAAACTGTCATCCACTAGTCCTTCCCCAGTGGTCACAGGACGCTGCCCACAGGACGCTGTTGGCTGGATATTTTTGGTTGGTGGACTATTCTCAGTCCAGCAGTGACACTGAGGTGTTTACAAAGTCCAGCAGCACTGCTGTGTCTGATCCACTCAGACCAGCGCAACACACACTAACACACCACCACCACATCAGTATACAAAGTATGCAGAGAAACAGATGGACTACAGTCTGTAATTGTAGAACTTCAAAATGCACCTATATAGTAAGTGGAGCTGATAACATGGACACTGACCGTAGAAACAAGGAGGTGGTCATAACGTTATATCTGATTGGTGTACACTATGACTGCTTTTGGTATATAAAGCCACACAAAGCTCTAAAAAATGAAATACAAAAACTATTGTATATACATTATGGGTGCCTTGCAGCCTAGTGGATATGTTTTAAACTACAGTAAAGAACCTACTTCATGGTTAGTGATGAAATGTTGATAATACTGTTTATAAGGGTCATTGGAGAGCTAGTATTCAAGTGCTCTTTCTAATATAACAAGTATTCATAGCCTGAAAAATGCTGTTTGGATCCTCACCCCTCAGCTAACTTGGTTTACTTTCAGAATAGCTCATTGTGAAGAAGCACGAGAGGCTCAAAAGCTGTTTTGACTCCATTTAGTCTGAGGCTCATGTCTTCTCTCCTCTGCTTTTCAGATTCCTCAGATCAGCTACGCCTCCACGGCACCGGAGCTGAGCGACGACCGCCGCTACGACTTCTTCTCACGTGTGGTGCCTCCGGACTCATTTCAGGCCCAGGCCATGGTGGACATTGTTAAGGCCATGGGCTGGAACTATGTATCCACTGTGGCATCAGAAGGGAGCTACGGAGAGAAAGGAGTGGAAGCCTTCATGCAGCTCTCTCGGGAAGCAGGTAAAAGCGCTGCAACTCCTATTACTGATTCCTCGTTCCTGACGATAGCGCTAATGATGAAAACTGTACAGGAGTGAACTTGGGACTTAAGTGATGTCAGTCAGTAATGGAGATAAAGCTCTGTCTGAAAGGTCTTAGACGCAATGCGCACAGTCATTCAGATGTCATAACAAACAATGTGCCACACGCCCTAGGGATAATTGTACCCTTCTCCCTCATTAGCGAAGAAAGCCAATTGATGAGACATGACTTGTAGGTTTTAGGGCATAAATTAGACTCGGAGCCTCATAATGACATGGACGGTAGTTGGAGTGGCAGTAGGAGATGCTGCATTTAATCTTTCATAATAGTCCTGTGCTAATAACAAAGCAGTTATCTGGATTGACTTCTATGGCTACTCCTTCAGGGTTTCTTTTTCTTTGTTCATTTCTCGCTTGCTCCCGTGCTCTGAGAATGTGCATCGATGACATTCCACATTTGTGATTTGTGATCCATCCTCAGACACTCAATTTTTGGCGTAGAGGTTGTAATCTTTTGGCAGCAGCTCTGCATCAAATAAGTTTGTTGGCAAGCTTCTAGACTAAGATATTTTGGCCCATTATCTTGGTCGTACCCAGCTGGATGAGTGATGTCCCTATCTGGCAGTCTACAAATGTTCAATCAATCCCGAGGTAGATCCTTTTCTCTTTGTCTGTGCTGTGTTGCTATACTTGATTTTCTGCCATGATCAGTAATCAAAACCTGTAGCATGTATTAGTTTTGCAGCCAAAAGTTTCTTTGGAGTGCCATTATAGTAGCAACCACAGGCAGTCAAATACAGTAACACTGCTGATGATGAAATATGATTAAACTACCACACAATCATGCGAATTAGGGCTTCAACTAACAATGATTTCCATAATTGATTAATCAGTTTGTCATGGATTTGATTAATTGATTAACCCCTTAAATGGCCTGGGCCCACTGGCAGGCCCAAAGTGTTACACTTCTATAGCCTAAGAAAAGCTCAGCCAGTTTGCATTGAAGTCCCTGTAGTTACTGAATAGTAAGCCTTAGTGTGTAATAAGCCTGAGATTTTAAAGGTTTAAATGGGAGGCAAAAACGTGCAGCTTAGCCTGTCAATAACCACAATTACTAAATAGTTTACATCAAACATAAAACATTATGATATATGACTTTAGCAAAATCCACAGGTCTTCTGCTTTGTGAAATGTGCAGAAATAATAAAGAACCAATGCATGAACAACAGTACAAAACTTATGTGGCAATCCAAGGACTATCATGATCAGTATTACTATTTGTATTGCTATTCAAATTTCCCCTCTAATAATAATAATAATAATAATAATAATACACAAATAATTTAAATTTATGTGAACACACAGAAGCAGCCTGGCTATCAGCCATGTCAAGTCAGTGAAGCTTGTTTACCACTCGTTAAACAGCAATAACCATGCATAAAGAAACGTGATGCCAATATTTTCTAAAACATCCATCCATGAACACAGAAGAAGAAAGAGCTTTTAAAATCTCCACGCTGGACTGCCGTTTTCAGTGACCTAAATCATCATTTTTGTGTGGGCAGGAGGCCAAAACACAGAAAAATGAACGGTTTTTAAAAATATGTGTCCGGACAGGCAGTTCTGTGTGTATTAGCACGCTAGTGATGAAAAAGTATAATTTAGCCATGCAGTTTAGACGCAAATGGAGCTCACCCCCCACCACCAACAGAGTTTATTTTGCTAAACTAAAACAGAGCTCGCTATAAAGCAGACAATGACATGCTGTTTTTAACTACAGTTTTACTGCAGTTTACTCACCATGCTGAGGTGCTTTCTGCTGCAAGTGTGTTTCCCTAGACCCCATGTGTCAAACACAAGGCCCAATCAAGACACAATCCTATCCAGCCTGCAAAAGTGTTTTAATTTTCTATTAATATTAGCTCGCTTCACATTGCACTGCACTACAGTCCCCAGCATGCACTGCAATGTAATGTGCGCTCCAACTCTCCTACCCCAACAACAATCTACTGAACAGCGGTGACACCTTAGTTCTACACAATTCTACACAGTTCCACACCATATCAGACATATCACCAAACAATTAAATGCAGTTTAGCCAGTAATAAACACTTAGCATTAGCTCAACAGCTCAGAAACTGAGCCCAAGTATTAATGAACTTGCAGCAAAGAAAGGATGCCAGGTGTCTAGTTCAAGCAAATAGGTAGGTTTAATAGACTAAGCTCCTGGGGACATTTAAATTTAAAATATTTCAAGTATTTATGTGTTATTTCAAGGTCTACTACAAGTGTCTATGCTTTTGCATATTTTGAATAATCAATGGTCAGTTTGATTTATAGCTAAATGTGATGTCCAACAGATTTGTTGAGATTTTTAATAGTATATATATATATATATATATATATATATATATATATTTATCGCTGCTGTCGGGGGGACAAAACCTTGTATCTCCATTTTTGGCGTTTTTAGTTTTGGACATAATTTGAAAATACCTGTTGTTCTTTACATTGTGTGTAAATTTCATGATGAATGGGCCAAAACAAAAGGCCCAAAATTACTAGAAATTCTGGTTCCATTTCAAGTGGGCTTGAAATCTTATTATTATTATTAATATATTAGTGGTTGAGTTTGACACCCGTGCTCTAGATGCTCGCGCATGACAGTCGCGCTGCTGTCAAAAGTGACAGATTTCAGATTTTTTGGAAGTCTAAGTGGTCTTCTTCTGTTTTTTGACTTTTTGAGTGGTGCATAACCCTGTACTGTAATCTCCACCATCTGTATTTTGCCTCTCTCAGTCAAATGATGTAAACGGGGAGCACAAACATCATCAAGCTAGCTAACTGATAACAATGTCATTAATACTTGTGAAATATATCATTGTTACATTTTTAAGAGTGTAAGATTATCTTTGAATTAGTAATAATCACATCTGCTTAATACATTTTAAAGAACTGCTTAATAGAAAGCATTGTTGTGCTGTTTTTACACTTTCTGTACATGCAGCCTCAGTTTCACGTCAAATCTAACATAATTATGGACATAAGGATTATAATATTATGGGCTGTTATGCTTCAGAATCTAGTTGCCTCAGCCACAGCTGTCTGCTGTTTCACTAAAAATAGAGCTTGTGCATGAAAGCAGGTGGATGGATGGCTTCAGAGATGGTGTGTTGGGTTTGTAATGGACTGCAGTGAGTTTTCACTGCCACTGATGATAGCCTACGTAAGGACAAATGCATTATGATGAACATTAGAACACTTAACAGTTCAACTTTAGAACAGTTTAAAAGCGTCTTTATAGAACGAGCCCCTGCCAATAGTGGGTGAATTGAGCTATCAAAGTGAACAGAAACTAATTATTTGATTGGAACAGCAATTAGAAGTGACAGTTATTGCTGGTGATAACAAAGGCATGGTGTAATTGAATATTCATTATTTCTCACTCATAGCTAACTGACAAAGCAGAGAGGTTCTGTTGAATGTGCAGCTTTTATTTCACACCACATTTGTGTTTGTGAGTAGAAGAGGAGATATTTCAGTGTAAAAATAGTGTTGATTGTGCATTCTTGTTTTAGGGTGACACGTTATTCGGATAGTCCACTGTTCATGCTTTGTACATGCCTATCCTGCATTTAACTCACATTCAAATGAATATTTATTAAACTTAACTTATTTTTTTCCTGACTCTAACCCTGGACCTGATCCTAATCCAGTTAATCCAAGCTAAAACCTAATCTTAACCCAAAAACCGGTACTAAACTGCATAAAATAGACCTGATTATTAAAAGAAAAAAAATTAATAAGAATAAAATAGCAATATGTATGGGAGTCATTTTAGGGTATCTTGCCTATAGGCAACACCGTGTGACAAAGAACAGAAATGATAAAGAGCACCATATAAGAAACAGGCCTTTTTTAATATTTGTAATAAAGCCAAGAATAATTTGTTGATTTTTAAATACTAGAAATTCTTCTATTGTCTAAACAAAAAATAAATAAATAATAAATTGGCTACATAAGCAACTCTTCACTTGATGCTGGCTAAATCCATTCCAGTCTCGCACAATGTGGCTTCTAGGCAACATACATATTTCAGCTGTTTCTCATAACATAAAAATTATTTATAACATTATATTATTTTTTGTATCATGTCATTGTAAAGTAAGGAAAATGGGTTTGTCACCCTGAGGCAACGTCATGCAATGGAGGCCTAATATTTTGAAAGTCTATGGATAATCTATAAGGGGTTATTCATATAAAGCAGGACTTTTTACATTTTTCAGTGTAGTTTTAAATGGTTGACATTAAAACAAATGGAAAATAATGAAGTGCAGACTCAAACCTGTTGTAAATCCAATGTAAATATATTTTTTAAAAATATGATGAATCATGTAATTGTGCAATTAAATTAAAATAGTGCAGCACAATGACTGCAATAACTTTTAAAGGCTATAGCACACCACGTGCGGAGCACCCAGCACCACAAACATTTGGTGTTTGGTGTCCAGCAATGCTCAACTTGTCTAAGCACCACAGTGCGCTACTCATTTTGCTACGCTAAACTGGATTGAAATTTACACCATGCAAAGTCATCAGTCTAAAATGTTCAGGCCAAAAACAAATGAATGCTAATTGCCCTTTACCTCAGCTAACTTTTTTGAAGTGTACCTGTGTTCACTCAGCTCTTTATATAATACATCATACCTCAACATGATACATTAGAAATACCTATGAAAGCGTTTCTAAGCTCATGGTTGAGGTCCTGGGGTCGTCAAAACCCCATATAGGGGGCGTCATTGAGGAGCAGATTTTTCAAATAAGAATGCACTTGTGCTTGGCTAGGCTAGCCGTGGTGAAATACTAGCTAGATAAGCAAACTTTCTAATGCAAACTGTTTCTGAGACAGTGTAGCATACATTAAAATCAGAATATCAGAATGTGTAAGATGGGAACATCAGGATGAGCTTGTCTTCTTTC